CTAAGACGTCAGTATAGTACTTTTTGGATAAATATGTGCTATATTTTTACATATTATTTTTATTAGCTTACTTAATAAAAAAACGTGAAGCATGGTACAAGTCCAAACTGCCGGTCCATTCTAATTGACAAGCATGTGCAATAGAATGTTGATGCTACGGTTTTCAGGGTTTTAATGTTTAAAAATAGGAACGATTTGTCTGTTACCATAACGCAGCTAATGCATAATTATTTACTTATCGTCCTAGATATTCTCTGATAAATTAAATGGGTAAATATAAGGTTAGGTTGATTTAAATATTAACGTTCCTTAAATATACTTATTAATATATTCTTACTGGTTTTAATGTTGATGTTTTAGGTAAAAAAATAATTACATTCTTGTTGATGGCTTTATACAAGTAATTGACGAAAACAAGAATGGAATTACTGCTTCGACAAATCTGTTGAAGTCCGACAACCTAGAAACCACGCGTTCTTAGATTTCTTTTAATTGTTTTTTTTTTATTTTTAAATTTTTGCTAAATTACAAAACTAAGATTATAGTACTTTGATCAATTAAATTAGTGGGTTATTTTGTCCATAGCATGAGGGCTTGTGGATGTTTTCCTTAAACTTTTACAACGTTACATCTAGTGTTCACGTTTTAATCTATTAGTTAATTTTTGCAATTAATTAAAATTGTTAGAATACAGATTCAATCTGCTTGTTACAATTAGAACTGCATACAATTGGTCATAGGATATTCTAATCGTGTGATGTCCACTGTTTAAACTAAATAATTAAAAACGGATTGTAAAGAAAGTTATCTCCTCTACTTGAAAAATCACTGGCCCGTTAAGGGATAGAATCTCATATCGAATAAAGATGAAAATATAGATGAACTTATAAAGGATTGAGATATTCATCTTAATAATGTTTACCTTTTAAGATGGAATCTCAAATCTTAACATGGTATCAGAGCCCATTAAGGTTTAACAAGCAATTCGATCCGGTTAAAACTCCAAAAGTAAGCATACGGATTTCAAAATTGATTTGCTCGAACGAGTCACCATCTTGTGGGGGTATGTTAAGTGATAAAAACTCGTATCGAACAAAGATGAAAATATAGACCAACTTATAAAGGATTGTGCTACTCCTCTTAATGTTGATATTTTAAGATGAAATCTCAAGTCTTAACATGACCTTCACTTCTCGTACATTATCTTCTTATCTAATTTACTTTCCATTATGTTTACCTCTATATTTAAGAATTATGATCAACAACATGCATACCATAAGAAATAAACTTTTGGCTAGGTTAGAGATGATTTGTGCAAATTGTCCAACTTTTAAAATGGGATCATTCGAGAAGAAAAAAGGGATTCCTTCCATGTTTTGTAAATGAAATTCTAGTTTCACAATTAATATTAGGGAAAATTGCAACGACAGTCCCAAACCTTTTCATTTTTTGCAGACTTTATCCTAACCATTGTTTTGTGCCAGTGGAGGTCTCAAACATTTCAAAAATATTCACCGGAGGTCCAATGGATGGATTCCATGCATTTGACCGTTAGTTGACCTAAAAAGTCAAATTTTAATTAATTTTGACCAAACTGATAAGGGCAAAATGGTCGTTTGCATTTTTCTCATATTGTGTATGTTAAAAAAGTGAATTAAAAATCTCAAAAATAATTTTAAAAAAAGGCACATCTCCTTCCCCACGTCACGCCACCCCATCCCATCCCATGGAAAATCAACCACCATTCAACCACTATTTCAATCCCAATTAACAAGCCTATTCCGGGTCCAAAGGGTGCTCCAATTTTTTTCGTTAAAAACAACAAATTCCGTTACATAGCCACTTTTAATATATAGAAGATATTCTTACTGGTTTTAATGTTGATGTTTTACGTAAAAAATAATTACAATCTTGTTGATGGCTTTATACAAGTAATTGACGAAAACAAGAATGGAATTACTGCTTCGAAAAATCTGTTGAAGTCCGACAACCTAGAAACCACGCGTTCTTAGATTTCTTTTGATTGTTTTTTTTTTGCTAAATTACAAAACTGAGATTATAGTACCTTGATCAATTAAATTAGTGGATTATTTTGTCCGTAGCATGAGGGCTTGTGGATGTTTTCCTTAAAGTTTTACAACGTTACATCTAGTGTTCATGTTTTAATCTATTAGTTAATTTTTGCAATTAATTAAAATTGTTAGAATACAGATTCAATCTGCTTGTTACAATTAGAACTGCATACAATTGGTCATAGGATATTCTAATTGTGTGATGTCCACTGTTTAAACTAAATAATTAAAAACGGATTGTAAAGAAAGTTATCTCCTCTACTTGAAAAATCACTGGCCCGTTAAGGGATAGAATCCCGCATCGAATAAAGATGAAAATATAGATGAACTTATAAAGGATTGCGATACTCATCTTAATAATGTTTATCTTTTAAGATGGAACCGCAAATCTTAACATGGTATCAGAGCTCATTAAGGTTTAACAAGCAATTCGATCCGGTTAAAACTCTAAAAGTAAGCATACAGATTTCAAAATTGATTTGCTCAAACGAGTCACCATCTTGTGGGGGCATGTTAAGTGATAGAATCTCGTATCGAACAAAGATGAAAATATAGACCAACTTATAAAGGATTGTACTACTCCTCTTAATATTGATCTTTTAAGATGAAACCTCAAGTCTTAACATGACCTTCACTTCTCGTACATTATCTTCTTATCTAATTTACTTTCCATTATGTTTACCTCTATATTTAAGAATTATGATCAACAACATGCAGACCATAAGAAATAAACTTTTGGCTAGGTTAGAGTTGATTTGTGCAAATTGTCCAACTTTTAAAATGGGATCATTCGAGAAGAAAAAAGGGATTCCTTCCATGTTTTATAAATGAAATTCTAGTTTCACAATTAATATTAGGGAAAATTGCAACGACAGTCCCAAACTTTTTCATTTTTTGCGGACTTTATCATAACCATTGTTTTGTGCCAGTGGAGGTCTCAAACATTTCAAAAATATTCACCGGAGGTCCAAATAGATGGATTTGACCGTTAGTTGACCTAAAAAGTCAAATTTTAATTAATTTTGACCAAACTGATAAGGGCAAAATGGTCATTTGCATTTTTCTCATATTGTGTATGTTAAAAAAGTGAATTAAAAATCCCAAAAATAATTTTAAAAAAAAGCAACTGTTCATCTCCTTCCCCACGTCACGCCACCCCATCCCATCCCATGGAAAATCAACCACCATTCAACCACTATTTCAATCCCAGTTAACAAACCGATTCCGGGTCCAAAGGGTGCTCCAATTATTGGGAGTATGAAACTCATGATGGGTTTAGCCCACCACAAAATTGCAGCCATGGCTCAATCATTCCAGGCCAAACGTCTAATGGCGTTTAGGTCTTATGTTCAATAGAGCTATTGGGTTTGCTCCCTTCGCTATTGGGTTTGCTCCCATTTATACTATGATTTACCTAACCTCTAGCTCACTTAATGTAATGTTTGCTGAAAATCGGTTCTGTGATAGCTCTCTGCTTTAGCTAACACTATCCTGGACATTTTGGGCTTTTCCTGATTCTATGTTTTACACTGGTGAATCGGAATGATGAACATTTATTTCCTAATTTGGTTTACTAGGTTAACAATTCACGTTCAAGGTATTATTCTTAGAGTTATGCTACACGTACCTAATTTTTTATTTAATGTTTTACCGAACTGACAAGTGACAGCTCTTTATTTGGAGGGCGCATGTGGGCTATTCTTAAAGCGAGGTGGAGTGGTGGACTGTCCATGAAATGGGAAACTAAAACAGCTTACGAAAGTTTTAGATATGTTTTCCTTTCAATAGAGTCTTTCTTGGTCAACTAACGGCCAAATTGATGGAATCCCATCCATTTGGACATTGAGTGCATATTTTTGAAAGGTTTGAGACATTCGCTGACACAAAACAAATGTTAGGATAAAGTTTGTAAAAAATGAAAAGGTTGGGGACTGTCGCTGCAATTTTTCCTTAATATTATTTAAAAGAAAACATTTCCGCTTGAATTTATTTTTTCTTTTTCGTATAATAGAATGAAAGACAACTCAGATATTCCTCTTGACTCGGCAAAATGTAGTTTCAAACCTTCCAATAATTACCAGAAGTTGCCATATTTGACCTTTTCAAAAAGAAATATTTACAAGGATCAATTGACTTTAAAATCCATGTGTAGCCACAGGTCAATTTTGGAGTGTGGATTTGTCAAGAACTGCTAAACCAGACTTCATCCAGCATTGAAGCAACTCTAGCCCAGTTTGGTGAGGATTGAAATAAGTTTTTGGTACATTTTGATGAAAATTGATAAAATGTGTGGATCCTATGAAATATTTGTTTAAAATTAATTATCGATTTTAACTTGATTTGCCTAATATCAAATTCAAATAGTTTTATGAAGATAATTTGACATAATATATGATTTAATTGAATGGTATTACTTATTTAAGAGTTGTTTAAAATTTTAATGTAGGCGCGAGTTTATATTTGATATGTTAATTATTTATGTGTAGAAATTTTGGCATAGTCGAATACAAAATTAGAAGAATAAAAAATGTAGAAAAATCATACTTTCACTGAGGTAAGAGTTCCACACTCTCCCGTTAACACGATATTGTTCAGTGTTGGTGCTGATGATTCTCGGGTACTTGTCTCTCAAGATATGATGACTATGCCTTATAATAGTAACACTTTAAATTACGAGATCAACGAGCCTACTACTATTTTGATTTTTCTGAATCGGAATAATAAAAACTAAATATATAGAATATAATTTTAGGGAATAAAGCGAAGATGGAATAATACAGGGAACAAGAAGATATTTGTTACTATATAAATGGAGATGTCGGAATGTACGGAATTGTGGAATTGAAAAATTATATTATTAAAAAAAAAAAAAACTGCTGAAAAAAGTTGTGTCTCGACATACAAAACTCGTCTGGACAACACCTATTCATGTGTCTGATTTTAACTACTGCATTTCTAGAAGCTGAGGTCACGTGATGAATCCCATCAGTCCACTTTTCGAAATTTGATAACTTGGAAGGTAACAAAAATAAGGATTAAACTATACGTATTACAAAATGCACTACATGAATTACTATATCGTCAAACGATGGCGCCCTATTGAAGGGTCGGCTGTGGGGCCTAGCGATGTAGTGAACCATGTAATATTACATGTAGCATAGTCCCAAAAATAATTAAATAAAATAATTAAATTTATTATTTCTTTTGAAAGATATATACCATCTTTGACTCGTGGACTTTGATCCAGCCTACTAAAAGTGAAAAGTCTTCCCCTATGAATTGGATACTTCTCCGTTCTCTCAAAAATTATAGATCCAACTATTTCAAGTTACAAATCTGAATTTCAATTATACGATATTCAATAAAATAATATTACACATAAATTTAAAATTTCTTTTTTATTTTTTAACATTACATTTTCTATCAATCTATTATTCCAAAATGCTCACTTTTCCCAAAATGGAGCTCAAACAAGGACTTGATTTTTCATTCACTCGAAATTGATTTCGAGAAAATAAATTTATTAAATTAATCTGCTCGTAGAATAAAACACGCTCGGCCAAAGAAAGCTTATATCCGACTAATAGGATCCACTTGATAATCAATCAAAAATTGATCAAATCAACTTATTAAATAACAAATTTCTAACAAGAGTATCTCGCTATTACACATCTGAAAAAACAATTAGGCTGGTCATTTTGATCGCCCTATATCTGTGCTTTGAAAAGCATTCCTATGATCGAAATTCGGGTAAAACACTTTTTTTTTTTTCAATTCCTAAACAACTAATTTTTTTTTCCTTCCTCTCTTTCCTCTCCCTAGGCTCGATTTATTAATTTTTTAAATAGAAGTCTTTTATTTGACTTTAATTTTTTAAAAAAAAAAAAAATCATTTGACTTTAATTTTAAATTTTTAAAAAACTTTATATGTACAAAAGTTAAAAATGACTTTATTCGATAAAGAGTTAAATAAACGACACGGAAAATAGGCATCTGAAAAAAAAAAACAAAATTAAAAATAAAAAGACTGCTTTGCAACTTGCAAGTCCTCACGTCACGTCCACTTTCTTAGAACAAGAAGCTGGTGATTCCAATAAATATCACCTCAGCATCTCCGCATCTCCGTGGAATCTCTTTTCCTCTACACAGGGAGGCGATTTTTATTACGATATAGTTCTATTGTCGGCTAATTAATTTGGCTCATAATTCCGAGCCCACTTCTAGTTATACCCGCTGGAAGGATAAAAATTTATATTTATAATTTTATATCGATTCATTCAAGTATTCATATACATACAGAATAATATAAATACATCTGAACCACCACATTTCTTTGTTGTGGATTGTGGGCTTTGCTTCTTCCTGTTTTCAGGTACATTTTTTGTTACTTTACATACAGAGGTGTAAAATATAACTGTATTTGCATAAGAAATTATGAGTTTGATCTATTTCTTGACTGGCCATTTAACGATATAAATTGTGATCCTGTAACTTATGTGATGAACAGAAAAGGGGTAAGAATCAAGGAAATTTTGAGGAAATGAAATGTTATTGTATATTAAATGAAGGCATTTGACGGCTCAATCTTAGTTGTCATTTCTTGATAATAATTAATTATTAAATTATTGTGATTATGTGCTGAAAATGTGTTCAATAGCTGACCTGTTGAAATAAAAATGGGTAATAATTAATAATGCAATTAAGATCCTGTGCTTACAATCTGTTATATAGTTGGTGTTGAACAGAAAATGGTTGAGGATCAAGGAAATTCTGAGGAAAGGAAATCTCCTTGTATATCAGATGTGGATCCGAGGGCGTGTTCTTCATCAAAAGAAGGGAAAGGGAAGCGATTGTGGAAGAAGGTGAAGTACCAATTAGAGGAGTACCATTCGTTGCCTGGATATTTGAAGGACAATGAATATATTCTCCGTCATTATAGATCTGAATGGCCACTGAGGCAGACCTTGCTCAGCATTTTCACTATTCACAATGAGACCCTCAATGTTTGGACGTAAGAATTTTTCCTTCTGTGCATCTGTTTCTCCTAAAATGTTGTAAAAGTTGTTTTTAGTTTATAGTACTGTGTTTTTGGTTATTCGAGATGGGAACTTTTATTGCAGATATTGAATTTCGTTTGTTTTTATTTGCTTTTGCACGAAAAATTTTATTGTATCTCATGATTGGCTGCATACTTGATTATGAGTAATTTGGGACTTTGATTTTATGTTACCAAACAAGTTGGGTAGCTCGAGGTTAAAACTGGTTGTATGGAAATGGTGCCCAAATGTGCTCATGAATACCTGAGAAGCTGTGATATTGGTCATTTGTCATCTAAAACTAAGTTACAGGAAAAAAAGGTCCAAGAGAAAGGCTAAAGAACTGAACTTTGGATCTGAGAGCATGTTTGGCCATGTTGAAATAAGCAGGCATACTTTGTAGAAAATTGTTTTTCGTTAAGCACAACCAAACATGATCTTCATAGTTACTTTTTTACATCACTTTCGTTGAGATTACTGATGTTGTCTTGTTAACAATGTATTAGTTTAAGACTTTGAGGTTGATGGTAGCATCTTGGATTTATAGCTAGTAGAGAACTGCAGGTACTACAAGTTAATTGAACATACAATTATGTCTTGTTTTGGAAAAAAAAATGAATCTTTTTACATGTAGTGCTGGAACTAGAGCTTGAGATAGCGGGTGAGCAACAACCCAATAGGTTCAATGTTAGAAAGCAAACTGCTTATGGTATAAGGAGTCAAAGCTGATGCCCAATTCATTTTTTACTCTGGTAGAGGCAATTGCTAATATAGAGCTCAGGGTATATCTAGTCTTCCATCATATGAAAGTCTCATTTATTTGTTATTCATATTCCCAACCCCAGGATTATGTATTTTGCCTGATTACCTGGTAAGAAGATGAGAAAGTAATCATGAAGTTATAATTCTCTTCTCCAATGTCACAAGTCGACTGTTGGAGTGTGACCCGAATTCTTATTGAGATTAGGATTGAGTAAATTGATAAAGGGAACAAGAGTCTTACGAAGAGAGTGCTGGCGCTAGCATTTCGCTCGAGTGGAAGCATTATCCAAGCGGGAATCCTTTTTCGATTTTGATTCATTTCTTGTATTGTATTTCATTCAAAACACTTGTAATGAGTTCCTATATATACTTCACGTGATGTATCACCTTAGTAACCTCGTGAGAGCATAGCAAAACATTGTATAACTTTGAGAGAACATCAAAGTAAAGGTATCTAGATTATAGAGAGAGACTTGCATATTTTGAGATGGGTTGAGAGTCTTGCGAGATCTTTTTGTACTTATTTGCTATTGATTATAGTGAATTCTTCGCCCCTGCTCGTGGTTTTCTCGGATTTAGGTTTCCACGTTAAATCTTATGTAATTCGATTTATCATGTCATATTTTTTCGTCTTTAATATTCATAACAAGTGGTATAAGTTTTATCACTGAGTTATTACAAATTGGCTTGTTTTATAACAAGTTGTACCAGAGCCTAGGGTTCCGACAGTTATTGGGAGAGCCAGTTTTGGTCTTGTATTAAAGCAAGTTTGATAAAAAAAAAATTGATTGTCTCGAGATGGCAAATATGAAGTCTGAAATATCGCTTCTGGATCGCAACACCAAATTTTTTTTATGGCAAATCAAGATGTGAACAGTACTTGTCTAATTGGATTTGGATGATGCTTTGTTGTGGTTTAATAGAATGCCCGCAACTTTGACATTAGAAGAGAAGCAGCATAAGGATCGGAAGACTCTATCACAATTCACAGATATATCTTTATCTTTCAAATATAATTCTTCAGTATGTGGTAAAGAAGGAAACTGCTAGTTGCTGATTTGGAGGCCATAGAGGTCAAGTACGATGAAGATGACTTAAGGTTGATTTTGTTATGTTCGTTGCTCGCCTCATATATGACACTTAAGGACACTATCTTGTATAGTCGAGATACTCTCACAATTAACGAGGTTTATGATGCGCTTTATTTTAGGGAGAAGATAAAGCAGCTGGTCGTCGGATCTGAGGCCCAGGTAGTTTGCCATGGAAGGGGCGGTCAAAGGCTAATAACAATGATATGTTCTGTTATTTCTGTAAGAAGAAGGGGACAAGGACTGCCCGAAGCAGCAAGATAGGAATAAATTTGTTGCTAAAGATCAGAAGGGACAACCTAGTAATTTTGGTGAAACTAGTCTTGTAAAAGAAAACTGCAGTGATGGAGATCTTTTTGTGATTTCTGATGGCAACTCCAAACCTGACGAGAATTGGATTCTTGATACAACGTGCACTTTCATATGTGATCTAACAAGGATTGATTTTCAACATATGAAACTATTACAAATGATTTCTTGGTGACGGAAAATAATTAACTTTATAAGATAGCTAGTATTGGTAAGATCCGAATCAAGATGTTTGATGGAAAGGTGAGGACGCTTGGTGAAGTGTGACATGTTCCTACTTTTAACAAAAATATTATCTCATTGAGTACTCTCGATTCAAAATGGTACAAGTATACGAGTAGAGGTGGAGTTATGAAAGTTAGCAAGGATTCTAGAGTTGTGCTGAAGGGACAAAGAAAGTCCCAATTATATGTTTTGGAAGTTTGATTATCATTTTGGATGCAGTTGCAGCTTATGGTTCAATAAGCTGTAATTCGGTTAGAGTTTATTATGATCGTGTTGGTCGTGGTGATTCGAGCTGGGTTTGGATTTTGTTCATAGTTGTTGAGTATGTTCAAAGGGACATGGTGGAAGATGTATAGTTTGAGTCATCTGTTTGGAGAGTTGCTTGAAGAATAATTATTTGTATTGGAATCTGTGTCAAGGTGGAGATTGTTGGAGTGTGACTCAAATTCTTATTAGTATAAGGATTGGGTTGGTAAATTGATAAAGGGAATAAGAGTCTTCTTGGTTTGGAAGTCCGATTGAAAAAGGGATTAAAATTTATCTAGTATTTGAAGTTTGATAGGTAAAAGGATTTTGGATAATTGAAAACATGGTTTTGGAGTTTTGGTTGAAGTGATCTTGAAGGGATCAAATTATAGATCGGGGAAAAAGTGGCCACAATTTCACCGGCTAGTCGCCAGCTTTGGCGCTTGAGCATCGGGGGCGAAAAACGGAGTAGAGAGCTGGCGCCCACCTAGTACCAGCATTTCACTCTAGTGGCGGAGCTATCGCCCGGTTGGCACTCGAGCGGCAGTGTTATCTGTGTTGGAATCCTTTTTCGATTCTAATTCATTTCTTGTATTATATTTCATCCAAAACACTAGAAATGAGTTCCTCATATGTACTCCACGTGATGTATCACCTTAATAACCTTGTGAAAGCATAGAAAAACATTGTATAGCATTGAGAAAACATCAAAGTGAGAAGATCTAGATTCAGAGAGAGAGACTCGCATATTTTATTGAGAGTCTTGCGAGATCCTTTCGTACTTGTTTGCTATTGATCGTAGTGAATTCTCCGTCTTTGCCCGTTGTTTTCTCGAATTTGGGTTTCCACGTTAAATCTTGTGTGATTCTTGCATCTCGTCATATTTTCTTGTCTTTAATATTCATAACAAGTTGTATAAGTTCTATCATCGGGTTATTACAAATTGACTAGTTTATAACTTCAGCATTAAAGGAACAAAGGATCTAGGTGCATCAAAATCAATCATGGAATAAAGATGTATGATAAGTGGGAAATGGTTGATGGGCATGTGACTAGTGTATGAGAAAGGGAAAAAATACAAAATTTGAGAATTATGGTCCTACTGCAAAATCTTTCGAGCAGTACTCTATCCTTTTTTCAGGTTTAGACATCATCTCTACAGATTTTTCTTCTCAATTGTAGTAGTTACTATTTTCAGAACAGTATTTTCCCCCCATTTCTCTCGAGGAATGGAAGTTCCTAAAGCATTATGCCAAGGGGACACATTCCAAAGTTTGTCAGGACTTCTTAATTCCTTGCAATTATATTATCTAGACTGTGAAAGTTAGATTACGTTTAGAAGTTCTAAATTCTCTTGGAAGTTGTCTATGACATTTTTCTTGTGTTGCCAAATCCATTAAAGTGGACTAAGGCTTTCTTCTTCTTTGCAGGCATTTGTTAGGGTTCTTCCTGTTCCTTTGTTTGACCATTTACACTGCTATGAAGGCTCCAAAGGTGGTGGACCTCCCTACCCTACAAAATTTGCCTGAAGTGTTGAGGAAAGCGGATTTTCACAAATTGCAGATGGAACTTAGAACTTGCCTCCCATCATTGCCAAACATGCCTGATTTGCAGAGATTTCAGCAGGAGTTGAAGACTTCATTGCCTTCCATGGATTATCTACCATCCTTATCTAATTGGTATATCGTCGAACTCCTCTATAACTGCTTGCCGGAGCATTTTTCCAACAGCAATCACACTGACGTGTGTGTTCTGGTAATTCTTTGTCCTTTTGCACATTATTCTTCTGGTAGGGACTAAAACCAATTCCAATCACGAGAGCAGCAGAAAACTCATGAAAAACTAGTGTTTCACTTTTAACTTAAGAGATACATTCATTCACCACTGCAGATTTTCACTTTGGAGAGGAAAAAGAATTACAATAGTCATCTCATGCCTCCCATAGTGTATTATATATACATCGCTATTTAATATCCCCCTTAATAATCACTTGTATGTGTAATACTATTAATGCTACCTAATGTATGTACAGAATGCCTCAGATACTCCTGACTAGGCTCCACCTTATAGTCTCATGACTTGAAACAAGACTGTATTATTATTGCAATGTGGTGATAAACATATGGTTAACTTTAGTGCTTGATACCGCCAGTACATTTTGTAGTTTTCTTTCATTTCCATTTCCAATTTCTATTGCCAATTGGAGCTCTGCCGATCTCTGCTTTCGCAACAGTTAAACAAGTTCTTTGTTTCAATTTTGAGCTCATATATCTAAATTCTGTTTTAGGGCTGTGGATGATCATTAATCTAATTATTGATTTGTTATATATTAACTTACTTAACCTTCCTCAGCAGCTTGTTCATTTACGGTGACCTCAACTACTACACCCAGTTGTTTCAAACTACTTGAGTTACTTCAAAAGGATGTCTTTTAGGAGGATTTTAAATCTCTAGTTCTGTCTCCACAAACGTAATTTCTTGATGAAGGACGTGGAATAAAAAAAGCAAAAAATCAATCAAGCAACTAAGAAATGTTTTCAGCATTAAGTGCCTCAATCCACAGAGATTTGTGCCAGGCATGTTATATTTTCCGTATTCTGATGATAGACTAATGTAATTATGCATTCTACACAATGTTTGGCTCATTGTTTCTACGTGTTTATGAACATCTTGGTCAAAAAACACTTTTTTTCAAGCCACTTTTTATCCACACATTTCATAGGATCTACAAGTACTACCCACTTCTCAGCCACCCATTTACCTTTGTTTACAAACCACCTTGAGATATACCACCCTTAATTATCATTTCATACTGCATTTCTCAGTCATGAACAAGAAATACTCATGTAAAGAATTTGAGCTATTAATTTCATAAGGTGTATATTCTCACCGATGTGAAATTGAAGTCTCAATTTATTAATTTCATAAGGTGTATATTCTATCTTTGAAATTCTCCATAAACCACAAAGTTACAAGTTATTTGATGATGAATTTATCACTTGCTAATGTATTTTGTGCTGTTTAATGATTTGCAGCATAGCATGAAGGAGGATGTTGCAAACATAATAGCACCACTGATGGTGAGGCCAATTACGCGATGGCCATTCTTCGCCTTCTTGGGTGGAGCCATGTTTTGCTTGTTATCAAGCAGTGCTTGTCACTTGCTTTCTTGTCATTCTGAGCGCCTTTCTTACATTATGCTTAGAGTCGACTATGCTGGGATTGCTGCACTAATTGCAACTTCCTTTTATCCTCTTGTCTACTATTCTTTCATGTGCTATCCTGTCTTCTGCAATCTCTACATTGGATTCATTACTCTTCTGGGTATTGGTACGATTTTGGTTTCTCTTCTTCCCGTATTCCAAACGCCCGAATATCGTGGGTTTCGAGCATCTCTCTTCTTTGGGATGGGCATATCTGGTGTAGCTCCTATTTTGCACAAGCTCATCCTATTTTGGCACCAACCCGAGGCACTCCATACGACGGGTTACGAAGTTTTGATGGGGGCATTTTATGGTATTGGAGCACTAGTTTATGCCACCAGAGTTCCGGAGAGGTGGATGCCCGGAAAGTTTGATATTGCAGGGCACAGCCACCAACTTTTTCATGTTCTTGTGGTTGCCGGAGCTTACACGCATTACCATGCAGGGGTCATTTATCTGAGGTGGCGAGATGTGCACGGATGTTGAGATTTTACAAGAGAAGATTTTTCTTGTAATGTAATGGTTTGGTGGTGTGTAGTGTGGACAGTCAATTTAGGTTGTGTAGATAAATGCAGCGCGAAAGACTCTGCCCCTATTTGTTATGTTGTAAGCATCTTTCATGCCATGCTCGGTGATGTTCACTCTAGTATTAGACGGTGTTAAAGAAGAAAAAATAAAAGCTAAATGTTCATCTATTGTATTGTCCAGTCCGGCATGCCGAATATTTTTTCAGTGAATAGCTAGATTGCTTGATGTCTAGATGTAATGTCAAGAAGGGAAATAATATTCTGTTGTAAAACAATGAAATTTGTATCGTCACTGTCAAAAAGAGGAGTTATATTTACTATTCCAGGAAATGAAAATGGAGTTTCAAAGGCAAAAGCCACAACAGAAGATTGTTAATTTATCCAATTAACACTAGAAAAACAGCATAAATGTATAGTTTTGTATGATATAGATATTATATTGGTGTGCCAGTGTGTCGACGTAAATCGATCTGTTATCTGTTCACTCAACTAAAGGCGTAAAATGATCTGATCTAGCTCCTGTTTGGTTTTGCTAGAAATCATCCGTGTCAGAAAAATTATGCATCAAATTGAAAATTCAAATATGGACAAAATCGTCTTCGTTGAAAGCAAAAGCATGGATGTAGTGTGATATTATCTTTCTTTTTTGTTATAATTTGTCCCGCTAAAAATATTATAAAATGCAAATGAGCTCCATATAATTGTTTATAGAGACCTAATCGAGTCAACCTTGGCCCGTGTTGAGCACAATATATTTTTTCTCGTCTAATCAAATTGGAGGCGTGAAATGTGTAGATTGTGAATTTACATGACAATTTATGTTTCACTTTCAAACAAGATAACGAAAAGACACTCCGGCCGACAGGGAAGAGAAGATGCCCTGATTTGCGGGCAAAAATCCACTAAAAAGAAAACAAAAACCCCGCCCCTAATTAAGGTGGTCAAGTCATGACAATTCCATTTTTCCTCTTTTTGTTCGTATGCAAAAAGTTTCTGCCCACACTTTTAGACATTTTCTTCATTCGAACAGTCAGATTACACCAAAGAATATTGAGCAAAATCCTCATGACTTTTGTTCGAGACTGGTTTAAGAAACAGAGAGTGTTTAGCGCGCGTTAGAGTTTTACTTGTAAGAGTTATCTAACGCTCGAATCAATGCTTGTCTCATAGAGTAAAAATGATTTGTCCATACGTCTACTAGTAAGAGTTCGTATACTTGTAGATGGTAACATATACATACAACTATTCGTAGATCTGCCAATAACGTTGAGAATTCTTCTTATTCAACCACTTGTTGAGAATCGTCTCTATTTAAAGTGTGAACATTCGAGAGGGCTTGGGGGTTTAAAAATGGTTCTGGTGAAGGGAATAAAGTGAAAAGGCCATCTTTATGGACCATTCTCTAGCTTGAGAAATCTTCAAAACTAAAAACATATTATTACATAAACTCGTCAAATTCATCTCCTGGAAAATCTAGTGGCAAAGGTATCACATAAGAGCCATTCCCTATATCCGGATGCATAAATCCAAAATTACGTAACACCTGATTATCAGCAAAATTCAAAGCTCTTTCCATTTCTATCCAGCACGAATTGCCCACATAAGTTGGGTTATGGGCCCCGCTACACGGCTGACACCCCGTGAAGTGCGTGATGAACGGCCGCCTCCAACCACCCTTTCTTTCGCTACCATCCTCCACATACGGCTCACGCATTGCCCCGTATCTCTCACTCACCACTTCTGCATGTCGACGCCTCAATTTACGAACCACTTTTTCTATTTTCAAGTACTTTTGAGTAATGTTGTTGAATTTTCCTACTACTCCTAGCCAATAGCCATGCAAAGAGTACTCATTTTCTATGTAAATCATATCACCCCATTTCTTTTTCTCTTTCAAGATTAAATAAACAAGAGCGGATTGATCATCAGATTCTTTGAACATTTTGTCCTTAAGAGTTGATCTCAAGATCTGGCCCCACTTAGGATAATCTGGGCTTTGTGGGCCCATTCCGGCCCAAACATTCAAAAAGTCCATGGACCACTGGCAGTTTCTTAACAGAAAAATTCCTGCATTCACACCAACCCAACTTTTTTTCTCATAAATCAAATTGGGCCAACCATGTACAACAAGATTATGGTCCTTGTACCTCTCCAATGGAATTTTGAACTCCATGTCTGTGAAAACAGCATCCGAATCGACCCAAAATATCCACTCGGCCTCGGGATGGGCCAACATCGCGGCCCGTACCAACGGTATTTTGGCCCAAAAAGAGCCCATTTTTGGGTTCAACAACACATTGTTGTAGAAAATGTCATAGCCATGAAACCTACAATAATCAACCTTGTTCTTGAAACACCTCAGTAGCAAGTGATCACCAATGGGATTCTTACACGGGGACGGCTGTGATCCAGTGAGGACTAGTACACGATTCTCGACCCCTATCGCGAACGAGGAATGGTGATTTAGCCACTCTCTTCTCTTCCCATCCCAGTTGGTCATTGGCTTGTCTATGGTGTAAGTATTCTCAGGGTCATCATAAAATGTTGCATCCATAGGTTCTTGGCTCATGTTAAAGGGCTGGACACCAGGAAGACATTTTTTTGTACTAGGTTTGGACAATAAAGTTGCAAAACTAGGCCAAGGATTAGTAAAAGACCATAGCGTACAAAACATTAAAACAGCCCCTAACCCTGCAATACATAAAGACCTGGCTTTAGCTAAACCTGAGGATTTGTTCTGAACAAGAAACTTGGCCATTGGAAGAGGATTCTTTCGAAAACACGAAAATGGTTAAGCTAAGTGAAAAGGGTTTTTCATTGAGTAGAGAGAAAAAGGTTTCGATGAGAAGGGAAATGAAAAGAGTTATGGCTCCAGCCTCTTTATAAATAAA